GCTTTATTTGAGATGATGTTGGGTTTCCGTGATCTAATTCCCAGAACTTGTGCATTAACTTGTTCAGCTCAATATCTTTGTTGTCTATGAAGAATGAGCTAGCAAAGTTACTTTGTTCAAACCTACCTTTATTAGACAAGCGACCTATGCAAGTCCACCCAAGTGGTGTAAGTCTTGCAACTGGATCCCCAGGATATCCAGTTACTTCTTTATATGACTGGTGCAATTCTAATTGATCAACACCAATGAGCAAATCGACCATGCAAGGCTTTGCTACTTTGGGGGAATGGAATATTTTGCAAATGTACCCATTTGCTCCCATGCTTTTGCCAGTCTATCACTTGCAAAGTACCAGTCACACTATTAGTTGTCATTGCAGACATCTGGATACCTAGATCACCACTGATACTTTCAAGCTTGAATTCTACTGGTTTTGTGTCAAACGATTCTGTGTGACCATTAAGGACATTTACAAAGATCTTTTGTGGTTCACCCTGCAACCCCAACTCAGCTGCAATGTCCGCATTGATGTACGACTTCGTGCTTGCATCATCCAGCAAGGCGTTTACTGTAATGCTCCTCGCACCATTCTTTAATACCACTGGAACTGTGCGAAGAGCTATCAACGTATTGGACACTGGTGGCATTGTTGCATGAGATCTTTCAGGTTGAACACATGTTTTAGATTTTGCATGTTCTACATCATGACCCATATTAACCACTGACTCAACCTGTGGTTCAGCTTTGTTTATCTCTCGGTAGCCCCGAGCAGAATTGTCTGTGCACTCATTCCGTCTAGATTTTGTATTATGTAATAATCTATTGTGACTCTTTGCGCAACCTGATATGCCACATAACCTATTTTGACGACAGCTGTTACCAAGATGATTGCCCCTAAGACAGCGAAAACAAAGTGTCAGTCGTTTGGCTACATTCCATCTATCAGACACGAGCATACTTTTGAAAACTTTGCAGTTCCAAATCTCATGCTCTCCAGAACATACACCACAAACCGTAACATCACTTACAAATGTGCTAGACATTTTCTGTTTCGGGTTTGATCTCCTACCAGGTGTACTCAATCCTCGCACTGCTTCTTTCGCAACAATCTGAAATTCTGCTTCTAACATTATCCATTCTCTGAGAGTCTCTACTGACTCCTGTCTGTCCCTTTCAAACACCCACTTTTTGATATTGTGCCACCATAGGTTCAGTCATCTTTTTTAACAAAGTGACATAAAGGAGACCATTTCCTAACTCCTCTACCCTATCTGACTCTCTGATGTTTGCAACTGCAACATCCAAAATATCAGCGAATTTCTCTAGATCCTCAACATGACCCTCACGAATTGGCTTGAAATTACTAATTTCTTCATTTTGGATTGCAATCTGCCGTCGCTTCCCACCAAACTTCCTTTCAAGACGTTCCAGAGCAACATCATAAGCTACTGAGCTATGACCTAAAGATTCAACTGATTTCAAAGCTTCCCCCCGATAGATACTGGCGTAATTGCAACAACTTAAACTCAGGTGTTGCTGGGGACTGATCAATGCAAGTCATAAAGGCAGCCTTCCAGCTTTGGTAGGTTTTCACGTCACCAGAAAATACAGGTATGGAAACACGCTTTAACTGTTTCCACATGTCATTCCCTATGGCCTGATTATCAGACTTCCCTTGGCGTTCTGTTCTACTAGAATGCAATGCTAGTTTATCCACCTTGGTTGGGTCCTTCAGATACCAAACGTTCATGGTCAGATACCTCAGATTGTTGCCTAAATGCAACACGAGATTGTCGCCGAGATACAACACTTTGTTGCTGAACAATTCGGGATTTTTCACCCTCGTTGCAAAGCCTATCTAACACCCCACTGGACAGAGAGCGTTTTCCTGATCTGTCAGATTCCGATCTACCTTGTAAATATATCTTTACAGATTCAAGAACTGTGTTGTTTTCCTCTTCTAAACTATTAAGTTCGTGATCCAACTTTTCAACATTCTCACGATCTTCCAGTTTAACATAAACCTTTGAAAGTTCCAATATAACATCTGTTGCTTTCACGAAAAGCTCGTTCAGTTGATCTACACCATCCCTTACCTGTTTCTGTGATGGTTGATCATCACTTACTATCAAAGTCATGAGTTTATTTCTAGCTTTGGTACAACTCGATTTGGCTGTTGCCTTTTGTTGTTTTAACACAAACACACGAACACGTTCGGCTGTCGCCGACAGAGATCTTGGCTCCGAAGTAGTTGACCTAAGCTGGCTATCTATTCCAGTTTCCGACATAGTTTGGTCTGAACTGTCTATCTATCTAAATATCAAATGAGTTCTATTTCTATCTATTGGTTCTATTGAAAATGTAACAGAAAACCACGCTCTGCTACCATTGTTGCGCAGTGGAATTGAAAACGAAACTAATTAAAATTAAAGTACCGAAATATGCTATTTGGGGAACTAAACGTGACTCTCTTGATTAAACTGATGAAATACAAATGGGGAACTAAACGTGAATCTCTTATAACAAATGTTAATGAGGCAAGAAACTTAATGTGATACCTTAAATTCTATTATCTACACTATCTTGCTCTATTGCAGCGTAAATCTACTATGTACAGTATCTAGCTCTATAGCAGCTAGCTATATTGAACTTCTATTTCGATGCACTAATAAATAAATCTTTATATCAGTCTATCTAACAACTATTTTGACGAGCTGTCACCCAACTCGAGAAACAACCAAACTCAAGGAAACCTGAACTCAAACTGACGTCTAAACTCAATTACGTCTTAACCCAAACATAACCTGTACACAACTGACCGATTCGGCCGTTTCCAACGTGGTCGAGAGCACGTGGTCTGACTGCACGTGAAAAGTCATGCTTCTCGGTGAGCCACGAAGCATGGTGCGTTTACGCGATCTGTTCCAGCTGTTCTGTCTTCAGACCACTCGTTCCCTGATAGCCAAAGATGTAGGTGGCTATCAGTGAACGAGTGTTGGATCCTGGACGTATTGTTTTCAGAAATACAAGCCCCTGTGTCCAGGCTTACATATCCTCACCCCAAACCTATCACTCGTCAAATAAGGAAAACATAAGTGTGCAAGACCAGCCGATAACGGCAGTTCGTTTGATGTAAGTACACATCTCCTACGCACTGCCATTGCCTACTAGGCTACTCCACTGCCCCAAAATAATCAAGCATCAAATTCGCCGACTTAAACCTGAGATACGGTTGAATGCGGCATTAAAATGAAACCAATGTCACCCACTGCCGACATAAATATTACCAATGGCCACTTTGCTCATGTGTTACACATTCCATCTCCACAAAAATATTGTTTATTACAGCCTATTGGCACACGTGATGTACGGATAACTACAACATTTCATGGAAAACACCATATAAAACCTTTCATTTTGTATAGTCTTCCCGATGTAGATTACAGACGAACATTTCCCAAAGAATTGAAAGTTCATAACAGAGGTTAAATGGCTCTTTTTAACTGAATTCTCACCTGTTTGTTTGAATTTGACTGAGATTTCTAGAATTAAGGCGCACGAGAAACTCATGCAACGGAAGTGAGTCCTGATTGGTTCAACTGGTAACCATAACATCACGTGACACTTCTGGCGAACACCTGCGTGAAATATACAACGCTTCAAGCCTGTTTTAACGTGTTTGTTTCAACAGTCAATAGCTGTCTTTAAACACGGGTTACACATGTATATGCTATGAGCAGTTTAGAAATACTGCAAAATGCTTGTTTTTATGACGGCAAATTTGTTTTTAGATAGTCCTTGGTCAGCTTCTATGTACTACGAATTTTAATCCCTGCTAATGTCCACCAGTATGTGCATTTCTCCAATTAAATAGATAAATATTGCTTTTATCGGATGAAAGGACCCTTCCGTTCTATAAAACCTTTTGAAGCGTGGTTTTGGTGGCGTTACTAACAGACCTAGTTGAAGTCACTTTGTGACTTTGGTACAATATGAAATATTTTATGGGTAATTTGTTTACATTTTTCGCGTTTCCAATACAACACGTGGGACTTATGAAATGATGGTATATGATTATGGGACCATTAGTCTAGTCACAATTTATTCAGTGATATCTATAACATATCAGAAACGGGTCGATATTTAGGAAGATAACGCTTCATGTTTACTAATCCATGTATATTCATAAGGTAACTGCTGAACAGATGTCCTTGCTTTCAGTTATAAACACCGTCATGTCGTGTCGAAGTAAAAGGAACATACGTAAATACTTCGAGTTCTCCAAGGTTCGACTTCACCACAAAATACGGGTAACCCAGGAACAAGCTTCTACTTCGAGACAAATTCGATACATCGGTGTTTGACTGCATTTAGAAGTTTCTATTTTCGCGCTGTTTTTTTTCGACAAACCTCGCCCCTTTTAAACGGAAATGGCGGATCGCGCCCCGAGTAGGAATTAAACTGGTTCTTGGCTCTCTTGTGCGTCGTCAACTTGCGTTTATTGTGATGTGAGAGACGGCGCCCAGCTTAGGTGGGAATGACAGTCATTGACGTCACTACATTATGACGTCATGTTATTGTGTCGTCACGTCATTGTCTCGGCCATATTTCGAAGAGACAGGTTGGGTTTGTATACGGATGCCAAATATCTTTCTAAAATGGGCTGCAAACGAACCAAGGTTATACCTTTCAAGCAGACATCTCCCGAGGAGGCTCTGACGGGCAAGATCAACTGACCTCATGAGCTGTACTACGCCAAGTGTCAGGTGACACGGCCCACACCCCGCCTGTCAGGGGCGGAGATTCTTCAACAGCTTCGAGATGAGGGCTTGGTCCCCGACCGTCAGTCAAGTGGAGGAGTGGCCTTCTCTGTCCCCGCCGTGGAGGAGTTGTCAGCCGTGGCAAAGCTCCCCGACGTCTGGAGCAAATCCCAGTGCGATGCTTGTACACATGCTTCTGATCTAATTCCGTGTGAAATGTTTACAGGTTTGTGTTTACAGGTTGGTGGAGCAAGTCCAGAGGAAACAACTGGACAGAGAAATCAAGCACAAAGCTGTCAAGGACGAGAAGAAACGTCACCAGTTCCTGAAGAAAATGAGGGCGGAACATCAGCTCCAGATGAGGGAGGAGAAACTGAAGAAGGTGGAGGAAGAGCGGGCGGCGAAGAGGAAGAAACCAGACTCAAGTAGACATGGGGGAGCGAGTTGATGATGGCTGTGGGTGATGCAAATATATAAAGATCGTTGAACAGGTGGAACAGGGAACCAGAATATGAACTTGAAGTGATTACAGTTCGTACTTTTGTGTAATCGTTGAAGCTATTTACAGGGCCTTTTTATTGAACATGCTGTGTGGTCTACTCCCATTTGTGAGAACTCCCAATTGTGAGACTCCCAGTTATGTTAAAAAGTAAACACTTTGTGTAGGTAACTTCATGATCATTTGATAGAGAAATTAATTTACCTACTCAGATTTACTCCGTCTCCGAAACTACAAGCTATTAAGAATTAATATGTATTTTACACTACCCGTTATAACCTGGATACCATTTTGAACGGAAACAAGAATTTACTTCTTGTGTAAGCCAGAAAATAGTTGAATCCGTCCACGATTACATCATCAAGACACAACGCTTCAAATTTTCTCAGGAAAATAACCTTCTCATGATGGATTTATATTCCTACAATAGCTTGTTAGACACACACAAATGTAACTCTCTAATTATGACAACTTAGAGAATAGTTTCATATGTACTTAAAAATATATTTATGCAACAGTCAATATTGATTACGTCGCATCCTCCATTTCATTTTGTATTTAATGTTGCATGGGAGCGGTGTTAACATAAGCAGTAATGCTTGTTCACCAATCCTAATTCATTACCGAGTTTAGTGTAACAAGAAATGGTTTCATTGCAATCCACGAAATATTGTTCATTTAGATTTCTTAAGATGAAGGCCTTTTTGTATGCAGTTATTAACAATGTTTAAGATAACACACTAACCAACTTATATCGTTTACTAACTTTACTGAAGTTACCTACACATAACATAACGTATTTTCTATTTCCAAGTTGATATCAAAACAGATACTCACATTGACACCTATAGAACATGGAAACAACGTATGTTACAAGGCCTGAAAAATCAGATCAGACTAAGTTGAATAATTGTCCCTTTAATTTTTCACTGTTTAAGTTAACTTGAAAATTTTTTTAGAAGTTGTTCTCAGCATGTTGTAGCTTTCAGGGAACGAGTATTTTAACATGTCTGCGAAATTCATTTTTTCTCCTTACTGTAATATCAATGTACAGTTTTATTGAGAAATAGCGTAAACTACACTACAGTTTTATGCACTGCTTCAAAAATGACAGTACTAAAGTTAACTTTTCTTGACATGGCAAGACGTAGACTTTCAGAAAATACACGATGGCAAGTACTTCACATGCAGGGGCGTAGCTACCATTATAGAAAAAAGCCCGGGCTTACACGTGATCGTTGCTAAAAAGGTTGGGCAAGCCTCGATACTATCTAAATATAAAGCTTTACAACCTATCGGGCTTACACGAAAACAATTGGCTTGCTATGCGCCTGACATGCATGACACAGTGATGTGGCCACATCGGTGCTGACTTGAACATTAACCACACGGTTATCAATCGACATGAGCTATCTGTCGGCAGCCATCACAAGTTTAATCTATCTCACGTATCTGCCATTTGGTGAACAGGTCACTCGAAGGTTATGTATGAAGCGCGATGAAGGGGTAGAAAAGATTGCAGGCACCTTCTTTCCACTGGTAAATATCAAATCACCAAGGATACAACGCGCCCAGATGCCTTAGTGAACCTTCGACGTGCCGGACTCTCAGAGTCGCCTGAGTGATTAGGTTGCCAGTGTCAATAACTGCATCACTCTTACTGCGGTTGAAAGCGGATTAGATCCAATTCACTCACTCGTGTACCCGTGAAGATCCGGGTTAGAATTGATCTTCTGCAACCCATGCTTGTCGTGTGAGGCGACTAACGGGATCGGGTGGTCAGGCTCGCTGACTTGCTTGACACATGTCGTCGTACCCCAATTAAGTGGATCGATACTCATGCTGTTAATCACTGGATTGTCTGGTCCCGACTCGATTATTTACAGACCGCCTCCATACAGCTGGAATATTGCTGACTGCGGCGTAAAGCTCACTCACTCATATGAACACCCAGTGTTTTGAACTGAGCTATAAAGAAATACACACTAGGTCAGCTTTCACAGTATAATTTTATTACAATATTTCCACTGTTACATCTAAATAACAGGCGCGTTACACGTCAGCTGGAGAGGTTCTCTTCGACCATGGCTGCTCTGATGCATCTGTAGCGAGAGGAGAGACACGTATATTCTACCCGTAAACAGAAGGAAACATCATCATGAGAAATCACAAAGAGATCGTCCATTATACGATCTTGACCCTAACATAAGCATGTGTTCAGGAATCACTATTACTAGAGGTGACGTGGATTTATGGCAAGCCTGTTTTACATTTATTGACAAATTACTGATATCTTAATTTTTTAAAGATATCTTGACTGAAAGAAGATATATATTGAATTGAGTATCGGCCTACTTTATGTAGACGTGGTATCACAGCTGGTGTTCCAGGTAGATGGACCATACCCGTGCTGGTGCTCATGGGCACCAGAAATGGGTCGACAACTCAGGACTTCCCCTTTACAGTAAGCGGCGTTAATCATGTCATGTGACGAACAAAGGAGGTTCTCTTGTGGTCTTTAAACAATGCTTGTCCTTTCTATACGCACTTAATATTAATCATGTTCATCTGTACTAGCTTAGAACTTATCTCGGAGTGAATGTAACTTCAAAATTGATATTCAGTAGTGAGTACATTATCCCAAGACTGTAAGCACAGACATATTAGTATATGTGAAAGAATATGACTGTCTGCAAGTGGGCTTTATTCCCGATCATATGCAATTAGAATCCACGGTGACAATTCTCGGTTGTGTTATGAATGTGTATAAATGGACCTTGGGTAATGGTTAAAACATCCGTGGTGTAGTGGTTAGAGCGTCCGCCCGGAGAGCGGAAGGTCGCGGGTTCGATCCCCGACCGCGTCATACCAAAAGACGTTCAAATATGATACTTGTTGGTCCCTGCCTGGTGCTCGGCATTAATGTGTACAACAAGGACTGGTCGGCTCGGAGTCAGTATAATGTGTCTGAGTGGGGTATCTCAGTGGGCTAGCACTATAAAACCAGCTTCAGTCTGGGCTAGTACAAGCAGCCGCACATACACATACACACGCGTGCACGTCGTCATATGAGAGAAATATTCTCCAGCACGACGTTAAACACAATTTCACCTCACCTCCCAAACTTAAGTCATGCCCTGCATAACAAAAGAAAACACAAATACTTAGAAAATCAAGACAATTTTAATTATTAGTCATTATCAATTTAAGTTAAAACTGAAGTTAAATCTTGTCCGAAAAACAGCCAAAACGTGTATAAAACGTATAAAACACAGCCTACATTTCCGAAAAGTCCCAAACCACAAAAAGTCCGAAAAGCATAAAAACGTCCGAAAGGTAAAAAAAAGTAAATTTTACAAGACACAACGTCCAAAAAGTGGATGTCACTCTAAGCGTCCATCTTGACACAAACACTCTCCTCAAGAATCAAACGATAGCAAGATGTCACTCTAAGCGTTCATCTTGACACAAACACACTCCTCAAGAATCAAACGATAGCAAGATGTCACTCTAAGCGTTCATCTTGACACAAACACACTCCTCAAGAATCCAAACGATAGCAAGATGTCGCTCTAAGCGTCCATCTTGACACAAACACACTCCTCAAGAATCAAACGATAGCAAGATGTCACTCTAAGCGTTCATCTTGACACAAACACACTCCTCAAGAATCAAACGATAGCAAGATGTCACTCTAAGCGTTCATCTTGTCACAAACACACTCCTCAAGAATCAAACGATAGCAAGATGTCACTCTAAGCGTCCATCTTGACACAAACACACTCCTCAAGAATCAAACGATAGCAAGATGTCACTCTAAGCGTTCATCTTGTCACAAACACACTCCTCAAGAATCAAACGATAGCAAGATGTCACTCTAAGCGTTCATCTTGACACAAACACACTCCTCAAGAATCAAACGATAGCAAGATGTCACTCTAAGCGTTCATCTTGACACAAACACACTCCTCAAGAATCAAACGATAGCAAGATGTCACTCTAAGCGTCCATCTTGACACAAACACACTCCTCAAGAATCAAACGATAGCAAGATGTCACTCTAAGCGTTCATCTTGTCACAAACACACTCCTCAAGAATCAAACGATAGCAAGATGTCACTCTAAGCGTCCATCTTGACACAAACACTCTCCTCAAGAATCAAACGATAGCAAGATGTCACTCTAAGCGTTCATCTTGTCTAAGCGTCCACAACACACACTCCTCAAGAATCAAACGATAGCAAGATGTCACTCTAAGCGTTCATCTTGTCACAAACACTCTCCTCAAGAATCAAACGATAGCAAGATGTCACTCTAAGCGTTCATCTTGACACAAACACTCTCCTCAAGAATCAAACGATAGCAAGATGTCACTCTAAGCGTCCATCTTGACACAAACACACTCCTCAAGAATCAAACGATAGCAAGATGTCGCTCTAAGCGATAGCAAGATGTCACTCTAAGCCATCTTGACACAAACACACTCCTCAAGAATCAAACGATAGCAAGATGTCACTCTAAGCGTCCATCTTGACACAAACACACTCCTCAAGAATCAAACGATAGCAAGATGTCACTCTAAGCGTCCATCTTGACACAAACACTCTCCTCAAGAATCCAAACGATAGCAAGATGTCACTCTAAGCGTTCATCTTGACACAAACACACTCCTCAAGAATCAAACGATAGCAAGATGTCACTCTAAGCGTCCATCTTGACACAAACACTTTCCTCAAGAATCAAACGATAGCAAGATGTCACTCTAAGCGTTCATCTTGTCACAAACACACTCCTCAAGAATCCAAACGATAGCAAGATGTCACTCTAAGCGTTCATCTTGTCACAAACACACTCCTCAAGAATCAAAAGACAGAAAGATGTCACTCTAAGCGTCCATCTTGACTCGGAACACTCTCCTCAAGAACCCAGACACACGTGTCAAGAAGAGTCGAACTGGGGACTGGATCGGGGTGTCGTCATCATCGAGGGTAAATATCGACGAAGTGAGGGGCATCAGGCAGGACGGGGTAGAGAGAGAAGCAGGGTTGGGGATAGAGGTGGGAGGGACGGACAGCTCTGACAGGGGCTCTAGGATGGTCATGTATCTCCCAGTAGGACGCTGACAGGGTGGGACATAAGAACATGTTGAGAGTGACAGAAGGTAAAAGTAGAGAAAGGCGGTAAGCTGTTCCAAATGGATTGAGTAACTAGTCGCAGTCAGGATGTTAGAAGAATATAAGTCTTTAAGACATATGGTTATTACTCCACATAGATAATTAATGTTTATATTATTGGTAAGAGTGATGTTTGTAACAGATACAATGGTTAATAACGTACACACACGAAACACAAGACACACAATTTCAGGTTAACAATGATATAAAATTATTGAATCCCTAAGACACCCACTTGGCGAGGAGGGGCCCAGATGTCGAAGTTCAAAGGGAACCTTATCACCAGGTCAAGAGCTGTCGGGAAAAAAGGGGTGAGAGTCTTATGAAAAACATACAACATACTGGACACAATATGTCATTGTCATTAAAAATTGGGTATTTCGCCATAAATGGCAACAATTCCTAGTTAACAAGCAAGCATGTGTCATGATGAGCTGCAACAGTTCTGTCTACAAAGTTTGGTAAGTCATGATTGCTACTTTTGACTGTCATCTTGTGCTGCACATCATATGTTTGGATGGTTTCCATGCAAAACAAGAGTTATATTATTATGTGAGCACTGTATTTTATCAACGTATTAGCATAGCCCATATTTGCATATCTGGTTGAAACTGAAGTTATAATTATTCCTATCAAGTATTTAATTGAGGAGGTTTCAGATTAATATGATTTATATGAACGACTTGGCATACAAAGACTAAAATGGTTTATGGTACAATAACTACTTGATATGAACTTAGTTTGTTGGCTCCTGCTTTAAGACATCTTTCAATATAAATAATATGTTTATCATGAGACTGATAACACACACAAAACAAATATTAAACTTTAAACTTACCAGATAATTTGTAAAAACCCAAAGGCTACATTTTGTCACACCCTGGACAAGCATTATTCAGGTCTCTAACAGAATGAATTAGATACTTCTCAGTTGGTTTTCTTTAATAACTAGGATAAGTATCAAAATGTGTTTTAGGCAGATTTGATGCAATACTTTATAGAAGATAATTAACCAGATTTTGAGGAAGTTGACTGAAGAAGTTTGTTTACACCAGTATTTTTGGAGCATACATGGAATGTATTTTTTTTTAAATCTAATGAGTTCAGTGGTTTGTTATTCTCTTAAAATAATTATATCTTCATTAGTATTATGTCTTCTAGGGATACTGTCTCTGGTCCAAGAAAACAAATATTATTATTAACTTAGAGGCAATAATTATTGCAAGGTGATAAAAGTTTTACACTTAGGAGATATAATTTCCATTAGTAGTTAATTCAGTGCAAAGTTTATTGATTGGACAAGAGCAGACCCTCTGTTCAAATAACTTAGTGATAACTAATTTGAAGTCATTTCCTATTTCAGGACAGAATAGTCTCTTGGACCCTCTAGATATTTTCCACTGTTGTGATATTCCTAAACCTAAACCTTTGTAATTCAATAGTGTAAGTATTAATATGCAGGAAGTGAGATCAGGGGTTTGTATCTAAATTAGGATTTTAAAAAAAACTGTTTTTACAACAAAAAATTGTGAAAAATAGCATATGCTGTTTCCTGGGGTTTTGCATTTAATGGTTTAATAACTTGAATGTACATTGTAGCCAGTTTTGGGGTGAATGCTTGCAAAAAGGTACATTTTCTCTGTGAGTAGATTTCAAGTGGTTGTACTGTATACTATGTCACAATAAGACACTGTGAAGCATGCTGACATGGGTAATGTTTCCCAGATAACCATTAATTTGTCATGGACCCGTTCAACCAGCCTTGCGAAGCACTCGTAAAGCATCATGTGACCACTGTCCAGCTGAAACAGCTGGAATACAGCGGTTTCAGAGCATTTCATGACTGTTCAAAATAGTATAGAACAGTATCTGTAAACTATCTGACAAATAAAACTCAAGACATTAATTTATTAGACATTTAGCTAATATTGTTACAGTATAATGGTACCTCAATAATCACTAGTTGTGTAATTATTTGAAAACAAGTTATTATAACTGCGAGAAACAGAATTCGCAGTATATTGGGTTAGTTAATTTTGGTTCAGTACTCTGCATGGAACCTCAACAAACACCAAATATGTGCATTAAGTATAAATTGATTATATTATTGTGACATTTGGGGTGGGATCCTTTACATGTGTTGTCCAGTTTGGTTCAGATCATTTAACAATGACCAGAAAAGTAACTGTATCAAAATGGCGATGATCTGCACATTTTGTGCTGACAAACGAAACTGTACTTGCAAATTTCATAAAGTAGAGCCGAAAAATCACAATCTAACTGATAAATGTTTTGTTTTGGCAGTTATTTTTGTTTGTTTGAGGGTTTTTTTATTAATAGACTGAAAGGTTAAAAAGGTGTTAGAAATTGCACAAATTGAAATGGCTGCTCGTCTTTGAAGATTTTCATACTTCACGCTGATTTTCGTAAATAAGTCATAACACATTAACAGAAAGCAAAGGATCAACCCTAACTTAGGTAGGTATAACGAAATACCTTGAGTGTACGACGTCATGGTGATATCAACTGGAAATAAGCAAACTGTGAGGCAAACAGGTGGAGAAAACTGGCAGTATAACAGCAATGTATGATAGCGACAAAATGGCGGTATCAGCAGTGAAATTGTCGTCATGGCGACGTCATAAATCTCGGGGGATCGTCAGAACCTCGCGATGACGTTAACAGTATGACTGGTTTCTTCGTGTTTCTACGCAAGTCAGGATCCCAGTCTTGTTTCCTGTTGTAGCGATGTTCATTTGAAATGAGTGATCGTGGATTGTAAAAAGAATGTCTCCATGCCAGAGAAGAAAATAAAGCATCAAGATCGTGGAGCAAACAGTCACCACTATAATATGATTTTGAAAATGTTTGTAACACAGCAAATTAATTCGAAATAATTGCTTTAGTCTCCTGTAACACTCGACCTTCGTTATAATAAGATAATTTTTTTATTGTCCCAAATGGAAATATTGTTTTGCATCATATGCAGTTCTCCAGTTTTTTCTGTCATAAAGCATCAATATATAACATTGAAAATGATAATCATAAAACTATTGTTTAAAACAGTCAGGATATAAATACATCAACATACTGTCTGTTTAAGGTGAAGGCGAAGCAAATTGGTTCCAAAAGTACTAGGCGCCATCCGAAGTAAATGCAAGCACGATGCTGAAGATCTGTGGTGAATCTCCAAGCTGTAGGGCAAACAAAATGTACAGGAAAACGGCAAAATACATGGCTGCCATTGGGCAAACCTTCGGGCTAGGCTCTTCCAATAACATTTTAATGTGTTTCACGTAGCCACAGTGATCTATTGTAGAGTCGGTCGGTTTAAAATAAACAAATAAAGAATTAAGAAGTCACTGTGTTTGATTTGTTCATCAGAAAAAAAAGACATTTGTGACATCAGAATATCGGAAGTTTATTGTATTTCAACGTTTCAGCTTACGTTTCTCAACGACGTCAGTTTAGGGGCTGGTAGTGAAATGGTATGGGGAAGCTCCACACGTTATTGGAGAATACAACTCAACATTGTGAATAGCTATTAGAATGGCGTAGACTACGTGGACATCGTTCGAGCTCATGTACCTGTTGTGTGCGTTACGTACTGAAGCAAGACTTTTTGAGGCAACATAACATTGCTGCTCTGCCATTGCCGGGAGTTTCCACATACCCCTTCCCCACAGAGCATCTCAGGGATGAGATGGTGGGACAGGTGTCATGTCACTTACTGGAGTATTTAAACTAACATAAAATTATAATACTCACACCAGTCGAAGATACAGGAGAAATAGCCAACCTGACCCGCACATATAATTTCCACCTGTGTGCAGACTCTCTCACCTTTCAAAATCAGTTCTTATATACCTCCAAGCTATATTACACGACTTGATAGACCCCAAGCTTACTTCCCAGATATGTACAATGGTCTTCATATCACACACCTACAGCACAGACAATTGCTGACTACTTACATACCCGTCCATGCTCACAGGGGTTTGTATTTCTGAAAATAATACGCCCTCGGTCCAACACTCGTTCCCTGATAGCCAAAGATGTAGGTGGCTATCAGTGAATGAGTGTTGGATCCTGGACGTATTGTTTTCAGAAATACAAGCCCCTGTGTCCAGGCTTACATATCCTCACCCCAAACCTATCACCCGTCAAATAAGGAAACCATAATTGTGCTGTTGACATGCAAGACCAGCCGATAACGGCAGTTCAGTTCGTTTGATATAATTACACATCTCCTACGCACTGCCATTGCCTACTAGGCTACTCCACTACCCCAAAATAATCAAGCATCAAATTTACCGACTCAAACCTGAGATACGGTTAAAATGAAACCAATGTCACCCACTGCCGACATAAATGTTACCAATGGCCACTTCGCTCATGTGTTACACATTCCATCTCCACAAAAAATATTGTTTATTACAGCCTATTCGCACACGTGATGTACGGATAACTACAACATTTCATGGGAAACACCATATAAAACCTTTCATTTTGGATAGTCTTCCCGATGTAGATTACAGACGAGCATTTCCCAAAGAAAGTTCATAACAGAGGTTAAATGGTTCTTTTTAACTGAATTATCACCTGTTTGTTTGAATTTGACTGTTATCAAATTCCGTCCACTTCTGCTTCCATTCAACATTTCTAGAATTAAGGCGCACGAGAAACTCGTGCAACGGAAGTGAGTCCTGATTGGTTCAACTGGTAACTATAACATCACGTGACACTTCTGGCGAACACCTGCGTGAAATATACAACGCTTCAAGCCTGTTTTAACGTGTTTGTTTCTACAGTCAATAGCTGTCTTTAAACACGGGTTACACATGTATATGCTATGAGCAGTTTAGAAATACTGCAAAATGCTTGTTTTTATGACGGCAAATGTGTTTTTAGATAGTCCTTGGTCAGCTTCTATGTACTACGAATTTTAATCCCTGCTAATGTCCACCAGTATGTGCATTTCTCCAATTAAAATAGATAACATATTGCTTTTATCGGATTAAAGGACCCTTCCGTTCTATAAAACCTTTTGAAGCGTGGTTTTGGTGGCGTTACTAACAGACCTAGTTGAAGTCACTTTGTGGCTTTGGTACGATATGAAATATTTTATGGGTAATTTGTTTACATTTTTCGCGTTTCCAATACAACGCGTGGGACTTATGAAATGATGGTATATGATTATGGGAGCATTAGTCTAGTCAGAATTTATTCAGTGATATTTATAACATATCAGAAACGGGTCGATATTTAGGAAGATAACGTTTCATTTTTACTAATCCATGTATATTCATAAGGTAACTGCTGAACAGATGTCCTTGCTTTCAGTTATAAACACCGTCATGTCGTGTCGAAGTAAAAGGAACATACGTAAATACTTCGAGTTATCCAAGGTTCGACTTCACCACAAAATACGGGTAACCCAGGAACAAGCTTCTACTTCGAGACAAATTCGATACATCGGTGTTTGACTGCATTTAGAAGTTTCTATTTTCGCGCTGTTTTTTCCGACAAACCTCGCCCCTTTTAAACAGAAATGGCGGATCGCGCTCCGAGTAGGAATTAAACTGGTTCCGAGCTCTCTTGTGCGTCGTCAACTTGCGTTTATTGTGATGTGAGAGACGGCGCCCAGCTTAAGTGGGAAATGACAGGCATTGACGTCACTACGTTATGACGTCATGTTAATGTGTCGTCACGTCATTGTCTCGGCCATATTTCGAAGAGACAGGTTGGGTTTGTATACGGATGCCAAATATCTCTCTAAAATGGGTTGCAACCAGACCAAGGTTATACCTTTCAAGCAGACATCTCCTGAGGAGGCTTTGACGGGCAAGATCAACTGACCTCATGAGCTGTACTACGCCAAGTGTCAGGTGACACGGCCCACACCCCGCCTGTCAGGGGCGGAGATTCTCCAACAGCTTCGAGATGAGGGCTTGGTCCCCGACCGTCAGTCCAGCGGAGGAGTGGCCTTCTCTGTCCCCGCCGTGGAGGAGGTTGTTCCCCGTGGCAAAGCTCCCCGACGTCTGGAGCAAATCCCAGTGCGATGCTTCTACACGGCGGAGAGGAGGAGACAGAAGGCTGATCTATTTCGATTGGGACAGGTACATTTTGACAGATGAGTCTAAAAAGAATGTAAAATATTTCATCTACAAAACGTGCATTTGTAATGAACTCATGTTGATCTAATTCCATACTGCATGTTCATTTTAATACTGGTTTGTGGAGCAGGTCCAGATGTCATTATGTTGGGTATATATTACTCTAATTCCAAACTGCATGTCTATTCCATACAGGTTTGTGGAGCAAGTCCAGAGCAAACAACTGGACAGAGAAATCAAGCACAAAGCTGTCAAGGACGAGAAGAAACGTCGCCAGTTCCTCAAGAAAATGAGGGCGGAACATCAGCTCCAGATGAGAGAAGAGAAACTGAAGAAGCTGGAGAAAGAGCGGACGGCGAAGAGGAAGACGCCAGTCACGAAGTAGACTGCGGAGAGCGAGTTTATGAAGGATGCACAGAACAGCTGGTGACCCAAATTTATTTAAAACATTAACTGAAAAAAAAGGAGCAAAAAGATAAATACAACAGGCCAAGCGAGAAGGAAGTCAGAAGATGAAGTAAAAATTATTCGCTGGCAGTGTTGATATTTGAGAATTCTTGTTCTCCCTAATTGTAAATATTTATATGAACTTTTATTTATAATGTTATGTATGCATGTCTAATTAATGTCCTTGAATCATATATGAGCATTGTGTAAATGCTATAGATATACTTGTAGTGGTATAAATATAAAATGATTGATGCGATACACATCTTGTCTGTCTATATTCTGGTTGCATAATGTTGAGATTATTGTTTGTTGACAGTATTTGTTTAAAGCACTCAGCAATGTTTCCAGCTTTATGACGGCAGTCTAAACATTTTAACATCATAATTACATTGATGAATATTTGGATACACATACTGATTCTGTGTGTTCTCTATTGTTATATAAGTTGAGTTACTGTCCATAACATGAATGCACGGTTATAATTTATAGCCTGTAAAGGGTTAAGGCGAAGGGAGATAACTCCAAACCCCTCTTGCAACAAATGGAATATCACGGAACATATTACCCACAAGTGACCTCTTTTAAATTCACAGACTGACCATTAGATACCCAGTGAAAACAGTTGTAATAAGGGATAAACAATCTGTATGTGTACGTACATAGTAGAATCTGACGTTATTGAGAATGTAGGCTATGTTCTCAAATATAACATCTGTAACATATCATAGTAGGCCTACTTGTGTTTGAAAGTAGATCACGTAGATCTGTAATATTTTGTATTTTCACAGAAGTGACATGGAAATATACATGGCTTTTTGTTACTACATACAAAATTAGAAACTGAAAAAACATTCTGGTTATAAACTATAAAACACGGCTTCAAACTTAGTGTTCAACATTCTGAAACAGGACGTGACTTGATGACATCCTGTAACTAAAATACTTCATGTTCATTGTTGTTCATTATTATTATTATTAATAATAATAAAAAAACACGGCTTCAAACTTAGTGTTCAACATTCTGAAACAGGACGTGACTTGAGGACATCCTGTAACTAAAATACTTCATGTTCATTGTTGTTCATTATTATTATTATAGCCTGACCACCCGATCCCTAGTCTGTCTCACAGTCAGGCGCGTAGCAAGCCAATTGTTTCGTGCAAGCCCGATAGGTTGCAAAGCTTTATATTTAGATAGTAGCAACCTTTTTGGCAAAAATCATGTGTAAGCCCGGGCTTTTTTTAATAATGGTAGCTACGCCCCTGACAGTCCCTGAACCACATTATTTTCCCTAGTGCCTATAGCCCTCTCTGCAGTGCTAAAGCCCTAGATAAAGCAAGTCTAGATTTCCTCAGGTACAGTCTGAATCTCTGGTCTCCATGGGGCTCCTTTTCAATTTAAGACAAGTATGGGTTACTGAAGATCAATTTTAACCCGGATCATCGCGGGTCTTGCGAATTCTATATTGTTTATTAAATAGCTTTTGATTGTGAGAACTGAAAGTGAAGTTGTTTTTAACGCCACTGTATGTTGGAAAACAGACACACAAGCACGGAGCGACTTTTACAGTTTTTACGAGTAAATTACCTTTTTAACTGAGGAACATTTGGTTCAACCAATATATAGACATATAGTTCTTACATAAGAATACTACTACTGATCGATATCTTTAATTCTAAAAGGTATTTTGTGACAATGAAAGAGGATAGTTATATTTCCACATATTCTCCCAGCGATAATGTAAAAGCTGCTGAAGCTGCAGAAAGAATACAATATTTACCGTTGATAATGTGCGTACCTGAGTAAAGGGAGGCAATCCAACCGGTGGCAGCAGCGAATAACTCTCAGCTCCTGAAGAGCACGTAAAGTGTGATACAAGATGGCCGACTCTAAAGAGGCGGAACAGCAAAGTACTTCAGAGTCGGATCAAGGGGAATTTCTAGAGTCCGAAGCACCTGGGACCAGTGGAAATGTTATGTTCATTGCAAGCGATTCGTACGAAAGTTTGAATTATGAAAACCTCGCAGACACACAATTTCCCAAGTCAGCCTCCGGTCCAATCCATTCGATTGTGCGACAGAATTCTGAGTCTGATGATCAGGTGGACTCGAATGAAATCTCCACCGGTGAAGAATCGGACCAAACCGAGGTGTGAATCTTGTATGTTATATTTGGGGTATACTCATAAGGTATATTTATTTCGAAGGAATTGTGTTACTTTGAGTGACAATTTCATTTGAAACATGTTTATGTGAAAAAAAATGTGTGACAGGTGTACACTTGACATATCATACTACTTGAAAGACCTGTCACAGGTGTGCACTCACGACACAGTCTGACTTGCATACTTACCTGTTTAAATCATTACCTGGTATTGATTCCTTGACATTGGTGGAAAAAGGTTCGGTAAGAGTTCCTCCCGTTCGCCCATCCCAAAGAATATTTATAAATATACTAAAATTATTAAAGGTCACATGCAACCAAAAAATCAAACATAATTAAAACACAATTATCACTTATTCATGACATATAATATACATTACTGGTTATGAAAAAACATATAAACAAAATTATAAGCGTACAATTGCAAATAAAAAGTGCAATATTGTGTACTTGGGTTTACTTCCCAAGAAACGAAGCAGCCGGGATACCGAACCCAGTCAGAGCGGGTGGGTGTGCACTCAAGTGTAACGGCTGGTTCATTTGCAGATGCCCTCACGGCTCATTGTGTGTGTATATATAGAGATGTTGGGTTTTGTAAATACATGCTCATTTTTTGTGTATAACATCTTGCAATCAACAGACATCATAACATGTCATGTGTTCAAGTATCACACCTGCCTGTCTGTGTAATTACATAATGTGACAGAGACCGAACTCGGGCCATAAATCAATGCGTTTTGTTTATGGTGTATAGCCTGATTGGTGTTAAGTTCAAATTGCATGTGTTCAGTGATCGCAGTTGTGTATTGAATATTGTCATTAGCAGACAGGCAGGCAGACACACAGGTGTCAACAAAAACAAGACATTGAGTTTTGTCTGTGACAACGACATATCTATATCACAGTTAGAAATTCTGTCAACGCTAAATAATGACATTGCTTTTAAGTATCGAATTGAGAAAGTGACTCGTTAAGAAGAACGTGTGGTGAAATAGACAAATGAAATTATATAAACAGTTTATTTACTGTCATAACATATAAAAAGCTCGCGCCTGTGAGATATCAACAAAACATTAGGAAAATAGCTCACACCAAAGCCTTCACCGAGTATTCACCGGACAACCCGCTTCCAAGTTGCGCCAACCTATTTCACTGTGCACGTCCTATGAGCGCAGCCCAGCTGTTGAAACCAGTTTTCCCCCGAAAAGTCCGGTGAAAATTGGTGAATCGTTTGAACTCCGATTCCGCGCGTTTCTTTTCATCGCGTTATTTTTCAACTTTATAAGTAGAATTTGCATTTTTGATGATTTGTTTCGGTAAGTCCATACCAAAAGGTATCAGAATCTGCAAAGTTGTGTTTTACATGGCATGTGACCTTTAACAAAAAATTTTACTAGAGAACCCACAAAATGAGTAAAAGTCAAAAATTTAAGTTAGGTTTAGGGTTAAGTTTAGGGTTGGGTTTAGAGTTAGGTTTAGGGTTGGGGGAACGGAATGAACTCTTTCCAAAGGTTCTGTGGTATTATCTGAAACGCAAACATGCCATGTCATGCCAAAAAACATTAAAAGATGGTACTTTTTGTTACCCTGCTTTGAGCTTGGCATCAAAGGGAAAAACAACTGGTGGATACATGTTGCTATAGAAGTGCAGTAATCTTGACATTTAACCCCATTTGACCTCACCACGTAACTTGTGAGCGCCAAGCCAAAATAATTCTGTCCTTTCAGACCAAAGATTTATCCAATGCTGTTGACAAGCTGAGTGTGGAGGGGAAGGTGTCAGCTGAAGAGGCCCAGGTGGAAGAACTGAATGAGGATGACGTGAACACCTTACACTGGAAACATCAGCGGAAACACATCTTTATACTCAGCGAGTCCGGAAAGCCAGTTTATTCCAGGTGCATGAACTTGAATTTCAAATGATGATGTCTGATATGATATGATTTAGTAAATGCTAAATATTAGGGATGTGTATTTGAGAAATTGCTTTGTAATATGTTGTGATATAGGTATCTGTGTTGCTATTTGTATTGTGATTTATTACCCTTGAGATAAATTAAAGATTTTTGATTGGTTAATAGGCAATGCAATATGAAACCATATTCTAAAGTGTCATTGGTAGTATGGATCCATTTTGCATTGTTCCTACAGGTAGTTGGCAACCTTTGACAATGATGGCGTACTCATTGACTGAATTAATTAATGTTATGCATTTATTTGTGGTACTCTACATCTCACAGCTTAAAATGGGTGTGGCCACTTTGAATGCCAGTGCCCATAACAGGAAATCCTGTTTTGAATGGTAGCGTAGTTATGGGTTGGATTATGGGTCCAGGACAAATGGGATGATGAACTATTCCCGCAGTTTTGATAGTGTTTGGCTCTCAATCCGGCTCTCAATCCGGCTCTCAAATATACAGGTTCACGTGATGTTACTGAATATATTTGGCAATATATTGAAATGACATGATTTATGTGATGCACTCTTATTTTCACAAAGGCACACCTAAATTTTCTGTCAGGTGCCCAAAGGGCATTTCTATCCCAGCATTACATCTGAGACTGGCTACTTCTTTGTGTGCAAATATCATGAGTAACTACTGACATTGTAGGTTTGTCTGACAAAGACTGACATACATATCACCAGTCATGCATGAATCAGCAAGGTAACCATAGTAACTGTTGGAGATGCTGTGAGGATGTCTGTAGTGCAGAACCATTTCTTACATGAATGATATTCCAAAGAAATCTGGATGCTCTGCAGAACCTATAAAGTTATTTCAGAGAGCTTGTGTAGAGTTCATTTTTCCTTGAGTATCATGTTAAATATACTCTTTTGGATTCAAACTGTCGAACATGTTGAAGTTTATTTAAAAGTTTGAAGAAAACAATAAAAATATAACAGTTAAAAAGACAGTAACTGTAAAGTTATCTCCCTTGAAATGATCAGCCACTGCAGTTACTGGGGTTAGAGATACCTGTATACTTTGCAACAACTGGTATTATGTTTTGGTACTGATTGCTTTGGAAGAACCTTGAATTCTCTGACTAAACTTCGGTATATACCTTCAGCACATATGGTTAATGTGATTTAAGGTACCCATAGAAATTTTTTAAAAGTGAATACGAATGATAATATAAGATTTTTCTAATACCCTGGTAATATATGCCAGGGATTTACCTTGAGTCCTGTATTTGAGGATCCCTGGGACTCATACTCTAAATTTTCAGGGGTCCCGAACACTTAGATATTATTATTAATACTATGTTGTAATATGGTTGTAATCCAGTTACTGTTATTGTATTGTGTATTGTGATCATCACATTGTTACAGTAATTAAATTGCAAACAATAACATAACCAGGTTAGTAGCAGACTCAGTGATAACTTATTGCTACCTGATCGAAAAAAATTCAAAAAGTACTTTGACATTTTCTGCGTCCGTGTGGACGCGCTAATAGATTTCATTGCGTCCATTGTCAATTTTTATGCGTATAGGAGGCAGGAATTCACGTCCTGTAACATGTGTTAATCCCTGTATGTGCTTTATTGTTTGGTCAAACATCACAACAATTAGTGGGGCGGTGGGGTAGCCTAGTAGTAAAAGCGTTTGCTTGAAACTCCAAGTCCTGTTTGATTCCCCACATTGCAACAATGTGTGAAGCCCATTTCTGGCGCATCTCTCTCTCTCTCTCTCTTGCTCTCGCTCTCCCCCGACCTCCACCCCCCACCGAATATAACTAAAAGTAGCGTAAAATTCAACTTACTCACTCAAAACATTTATTAGGTAAGATAGTTGGCTATAGAGATCAGTGGCCTCCTAGGAAACTACTAGCCACAGATCAGCAGGTAGGCAGCCTTTTTGATTGCTGATTCTCGATGTTGCTCATCTCCAGGTACGGCAGCGAGGACAAGCTTGTGACCATCATGGGCGTGATGCAGGCGTTAGTGTCCTTTGTGCAGGACAACAAGGACCAGATTCGGTGCATGATCTCGGGGGACCACAAGTTTGTGTTTTTGATCCGAGACCATCTGTTGATGGTTGGAGTGACACGAGGAACAGACTCTACTCAGCAGATGTTGTTGCAGCTATCATACGTTTACAACCAAGTGCTTAGTGTGCTCACGTATAGCACGCTCTCCAAAATATTCAAACAGCGGAGAAATTACGATCTCCGAAGACTTTTATGTGGTGCTGAGAAATTTTTTGACAATTTGTTGAACTTAATAGACAATGAGTATGGGTTCTTACTAGGCGCTGTGCGCGATGCTTACCTTTGGATACTTCAGTACGAGAAATAATTGCTCAAAGTATAGTTCAACATGCAAAAGTCAAGGTGAGTCCACTTTCAGAGAATTACATCACTTGATTGTTGTGTGGGTTAACATGATGTCTAGTTTGGGTCTAGGCCATCATAGATTGCCACATTGTGTTTGTGTAAAAATGGTGGCCTTTTCCTTACGATTTCCAAACCATCTCAGAAGCCTCTGTACGGATTTGCCCTGCCCTGCCCCCTAGGGCCAATAGAAGAAATGGCATGATGCTCGTAGATAATGTAAACACAAACACCATAGCCCAAAGCCATCTACGATGCCCCAGAAATGGCATGGTAAATCGTAAAATTTATCATACAGAGCCCGGGCAAATGTAAATTAAGCATTAAGCTGCACGAATGTCTGGATCCATTCTGCTGGTCCTCTTGATTGCCAATTACATGCCCTTTGTTTTCATTAGCCAGTTTGATTTGCTTCGCTAGTCAATGTAAAAATCCAGTCAGAATGTGAGTTCCAAACTCACTCTAAAGTTTGGTTGTGTGTATGAAAGACATGCACCCAGTCCCATTGATTACGGCAAAAGTCGTGAAAACAGTCAACATTGAACAACTAAACAACTAAATGACATGCACCAGAACACCTCCAGGAATATTTTTGATGGAGAGGATGTCTTCGTGTTCTTTGAAACCAGTGGTGGCAAATCCATTTGATAACAAGCAATCCCTGTGATATTCAAGGAGAGAAAAATACTACCGCATCATTTGATTGGTCAGTGAAATGTTGATGAAAATCATTGTGCCTTCAGCGGAATCACAGAAACGGGTCAGGGGGTTTATGTAGATTTACCAAAATGCAAGCCCTGGAGATACAGAGGATGCCTTTCAGTGAATCATTTCATTTGAGTTTTCAGGCATTTTGGAGTCAGTTTTGAATGATTTGAATCAAAGGATGTGGTATATAGAGGCATGTACATCTCTAATGATTTTCTTACCAAAGTAAGTTTTATGACTGACATTTCTAGTGGGCAAGACTGGCTCTTTTTAATGTTTCCATCCTCTTCCTTTAATCATGGTAATAATCTGTCAACTGCCCTGAACCTAGTCTGCATGTAAATAATGTCACTAACTGGGTTATGATAACCTTCAGACACCAGTGTAACCATGGTAACCATGGAGTTTGATGTGTACCAAACAGGTTGATTCCCTAATGTCAATGTGGCAAGAACATTTAGAAAGTTAGCACTGATTTTTTTCTGCCTTGTGATATTTGCATATGTATTTCAATTTTCTTGCATTATATTTTTATGAAGGAGTACCCTGTGTGAGATCAGGTCGGAATAGTCCCAGGTTCCTCACATGTTTTGATAGAGATAATGAAACAAAGATGAGTTTCTGAGGAATTTGTTGTACCTTGACTTGTGGGGGATGATGATCATGGTATTATCCATTGGTTTACTGGTTCCAGTTTACTATTACCTGGCCAACATGATGCAGCCATGGTAGCTGGAATATTGCTGACGACATGGTACTGTGTCAGACTGTTGTCATGATACTGTCTCAGACTGTTGTAATGGTACTGTGTCACACTGTTGTCATGATACTATCTCAGACTGTTGTAATGGTACTGTGTCACACTGTTGTCATGATACTATCTTAGGCTGTTGTCATGATACTATCTCAGACTGTTGTCATGGTACTGTGTCAGACTGTTGTCATGATACTATCTAAAGCTGTTGGCATGATACTTTCTAAAGCTGTTGTCATGACACTATCTTTAGCTGTTATGATACTATCTAAGGCTGTTGTAATGGTACTGTGTCAGACTGTTGTCATGATACTATCTAAGGCTGTTGTAATGGTACTGTGTCAGACTATTGCCATGATACTATCTAAAGCTGTTGTCACGATACTACCTTAGGCTGTTGCCATGATACTATCTAAGGCTATTGTAATGGTACTGTGTCAGACTATTGCCATGATACTATCTAAAGCTGTTGTCATGATACTACCTTAGGCTGTTGTCATGATACTATCTAACGCTGTTGTCATGATACTATCTAAGGCTGTTGTCATGATACTACCTTAGGCTGTTGTCATGATACTACCTTAGGCTGTTGTAATGATACTATCTAAGGCTGTTGTCATGATACTATCTTAGGCTGTTGTCATGATACTATCTTAGGCTGTTGTCATGATACTACCTTAGGCTGTTGTTGTCTGTGTTTCAGGATCTAGTATTTGCCCTGATCATTGCTAACAATCAGCTGGTGACATTAGTGAGAATGAAGAAATACTACCTCCACCCCATGGACCTGCATCTAATCATCAACCTCGTCAACGCCTCCGAGTCTTTCAAAGCTGCCGAGTCCTGGACTCCCATCTGTCTCCCCAAGTTTGATAACAGGTGCGCACACTGGTCAGCCGTCACAGGGAGTCCGGGGAGTGGGTGGCAACAATGTCCTTGGGAGAATTAACGGGGCAGCTCCAACCCTTGTGTAGAGTCTGGATCGTCAGTAGCGTGATTTATAGGACATTTTGCTTGGTTGTATATTCAAGCTCAGACTATTATTTCTACCCCGTTTGTAAAAGAACATTTTTGATGGCAAGAATGTCCCTGATAAAAAAATTAGGTCGTGCAATCTTCACTAATATTATAATTATAAAGCCTAGAAGCCTCATGTTCAGCCATTATTGGGAGTCATGAATCGTAGACATTTTGGGTGGAAACAATGCCTGATGGAATTGATGTTCAGTAGGAGTACTGGAAAAACTTAAGAGTACATTTAGAGTACTGAATGGAATTTAATGGAGTATCAGTAATCTTGTGTTTTGTTTCATATATGCACCACAACATTGCTAGTCTTGTGTAAACAGGTCAGTAAACAATAAAACAATACCTTTTCAGATAAATATGTCTGTAAATGATTCTAAGACCGTACACCATTGCTGTGGTGCGTATCTGCTACGTTTTCTAAATTATTTCCTACCGTATCGTGCATATTTTATATCCGTACATACGCCAATACAGACCTTATCTGGAGCCCTGGTTCAGTACCAAACTTATATGGAGAGAGGATAGTCCACCTATTAAGCCAATACAACAGCAGGAAATATTCTGTGCAAAAGAAATTCATGTTTGGCAAAGAAAGATTGTTTACAATTATTACGGAGTTGTGAACAGAATGGTTGAAATGAAAGATTTTGTCAGAAAGTTTGAATGTTCACTGATCAAAATCTTTTTGATGGACAACAAACGAATATTATGGACATTGCTGTATTATGAGCGGTTGAAACGAAAGATTTAATTCAGTGGTCAGACATGTTCTGAAGATATATTAACATTATTGTAGCATCAATGGTTGAAATCAAAGATTTAGTTCAAATGTCGTGGAGATGAGAAGCTCAGATATCTTGATTATATCAATAAGCAATGTATTGGTACAATACTGTGTGTTACAGTGGATTTTTACAAGCCCATGTGTCTTACCTCGATGACAACAGTCAGACGTGCATGCTGCTACTGTCCGTGGATCGAGACAGCTTCTTCACTCTCTCAGAATGCAAGAACAAGATTAAGGAGGTGGGAGCTCACTTCTTACAGCTGCAACTTGTTAAAGGCCACATATGTATGTTTTGATATAATTACTGATACAGGAAGCTGACGTTGTCTGACAGTAACTGAACCATGTTAATTTCTGTTGAATCGTTACCATAACTCTGTAGCTGTAAGGGGCGGTGGGGTAGCCTAGCGGTTAAAGCGTTTGCATGCCGAAAACCAGGGTTCGATTCCCCACATGGGTACAGTGTGTGAAGTCCATTTCTGGTGTCCCCTGCCATGATATTGTTGGAATATTGATAAAAGCAGCATTAAACTAAACTCACTCACTCACTTTAGCTGTAAATGAAGAAAGTCTAGATCTCCCATCCCATTATGGCACATTTTCAATTTCATGCGGTTGTTTATTTATATCAAAATTATATAATTTTAATGACTAAATGTTTGTCAAAGACCTGACCATTGGACCAAGAGACGATCCTTTTTAGACAGAAAATTCATTACTTAGTAGATTAAGATGATGGTATTCACGATATTATTCTAATCTGAAAAACATCATCACCGCTATCATTCTGGGATTTTCACATAAATCAGAACATGTGGATAGTGCTTGCTTCGAGAGCAGAACTTTATCACCTGATAACTATTGTTGAAATGTCTAATGTTGTTTCAATTTATTTTTTCAGAGATTACTAAAATATAACGCTCTGCGTGCAATTGGCGACTCTCTACGTAAAACCAGCTACAGCATCCAGCAGTGTGCTATCCATGACTTGCGTCACTTCCTGTACAAGTCCCGCAGCACGGCACAATACACGAGTCCCGAGCTAGAGGCACCTTATCTCAACCAATCAGAGCAGGAGCGTTTGTTTGGTCTCTATCAGTACCTCCATCATCGAATACACACATCAGGCCGCCCACTAAAAATACTCTTCCACGTAGGCAGATATGAAACCTTGCTAGGATGGGTAGGTATTTTGTTCATTTCAAGGCATGGGTCAGTTAATGATGATAGCAAGACCACAGGTTACTTTTGATATTCATTTGATGTCAGTAAACTCTGTTTTCAGGATCATAAAAGCAACTAACAGGATTAGATGGTGTAAATCACTGATTTGATAGATGCATGTCATTGTGTTGCAGTTGAGTAGATTGGTACTCATGATGTCAATCACTGGATAGTCTGATCCAGATTTTTCTTTTTACTGACTCTTGTGTTCAAAGTTGGTTATGTTACTCCAATGACTCATAAATTTCCCGGCTTTGATTCCCCACATGGGTACAATGTGTGAAGCCCGTTTCTGGTGTATTCCACCATTCCTCCTCCAGATCATGAACCTCCTCCAGATCATGAACCTCCTCCAGATCATGAACCCCTCTAGATCATGAACCTCCTCCAGATCATGAACCTCCTCCAGATCATGAACCTCCTCCAGATCATGAACCTCCTCCAGATCATGAACCCCTCCAGATCATGAACCTCCTCCAGATCATGAACCTCCTCCAGATCATGAACCTCCTCCAGATCATGAACCTCCTCCAGATCATGAACCCCTCCAGATCATGAACCCCTCCAGATCATGAACCTCCTCCAGATCATGAACCTCCTCCAGATCATGAACCCCTCCAGATCATGAACCCCTCCAGATCATGAACCTCCTCCAGATCATGAACCCCTCCAGATCATGAACCTCCTCCAGATCATGAACCTCCTCCAGATCATGAACCTCCTCCAGATCATGAACCTCCTCCAGATCATGAACTCCTCCTCCAGATCATGAACCTCCTCCAGATCATGAACCTCCTCCAGATCATGAACCTCCTCCAGATCATGAACCTCCTCAGATCATGAACCTCAGATCATGAACCTCCAGATCATGAACCCCTCCAGATCATGAATCCTCCAATCATGAACCTCCAGATCATGAACCTCCTCCAGATCATGAACCTCTCCAGATCATGAACCTCCTCCAGATCATGAACCTCCTCCAGATCATGAACCTCCTCCAGATCATGAACCTCCTCCAGATCATGAACCTCCTCCAGATCATCTAGATCATGAACCTCCTCCAGATCATGAACCTCCTCCAGATCATGAACCCCTCCAGATCATGAACCTCCTCCAGATCATGAACCTCCTCCAGATCATGAACCTCCTCCCTCCTCCAGATCATGAACCTCCTCAGATCATGAACCTCCTCCAGATCATGAACCTCCTCCAGATCATGAACCCCTCAGATCATGAACCTCCTCCAGATCATGAACCTGAACCCTCCAGATCATGAACCTCCTCCTCCTCAGATCAGATCATGAACCTCCTCCAGATCATGAACCTCCTCCAGATCATGAACCTCCTCCAGATCATGAACCTCCCTGAACCCTCTAGATCATGAACCTCCTCCAGATCATGAACCTCCTCCAGATCATGAACCTCCTCCAGATCATGAACCTCCTCCAGATCATGAACCTCCTCCAGATCATGAACCTCCTCCAGATCATGATCATGAACCTCCTCCAGATCATGAACCTCCTCCAGATCATGAACCCCTCTAGATCATGAACCTCCTCCAGATCATGAACCTCCTCCAGATCATGAACCTCCTCCAGATCATGAACCTCCTCCAGATCATGAACCTCCTCCAGATCATGAACCTCCTCCAGATCATGAACCTCCTCCAGATCATGAACCTCCTCCAGATCATGAACCTCCTCTAGATCATGAACCTCCTCCAGATCATGAACCCCTCCAGATCATGAACCCCTCTAGATCATGTCATGAACCCTAGATCATGAACCCCTCCAGATCATCCAGATCCATGAACCTCCTCCAGATCATGAACCTCCTCCAGAGTGAACCCCTGCTAGATCATGAACCCCTCTAGATCATGAACCTCCTCCAGATGAACCCCTCTAGATTTTGTTGATCACTGGATTGATTCTTGTACATTGTTGACTGGATATTTACAGAGATCGCCACCATATAGCTGGAATATTGCTGAATGCGGTGTAAAACTTAACTCACTCACTCACTCACTCAGATCATGAACACCAATAAATCCTGAACCCTTATTGATCATTCTTCAGTTGTGGTGTCTATGAAGTATTGTGTCTTTCCTCCAGGTGACACAGGGGTTTGAACTGTATGCTGTGTTTGGCCCCCTGGTGACGAAGACTGGAGCAATACACGCTGTGAACAAGCTGCTACGCTGGATCAAGAGGGAGGAGGATCGACTCTTCATCCTAAACTCTGTTTCATTCTGACCAACAAAGGGACATAACTCATCAGATGTGCCAGGTTCATTCAAATGTTGTTGGTGATAGACAAGTGGAAAATTCCGAACCCCCAATTTCTAACAATAACATGTACCTTGTAACACTTACAGGTATACATAAGTGTCAGTGTATATGTTGAAAGTTCTACTGGCAGTGGTGAATTTATTTTCCCTGTACTCAAATTAGTAATGATGTCTTCATGACTGTCACTTTTTCTTGTGTGTTTTTCTTTCTGACATGGTGGTTAAGGTGACACCAAAACTACTAATGCATATAGGTTTTAAAATATTAATTTGAACTTTAATTTCACCTTGTTCAAGGACAGTACTTTGTATGTTGACACAACTTCTGAAATATTCTGCTCCTAAAAGTTCAAAATTATGTGATATTTTTTCACATGACCTCAGTTAATCTGTCATACCATGACATATAGTCTTATGAAATAACTGTGTGACCTTTGACTTCTTTTGCATGGTATATTTGTGTTCATCAGTGAAACCTTTGTTAAGTTATTACAACCTTTTTATAATCTGAGTTATGAAGGTGAAAAGGTTTTTTGAAGCAGTCAGTCATAACTTGACTGAAAACTGAAAATTGTGAGCGAAAATATAAGGAATTTGCTTTCATGAGGCTAAAATATATAAGAAACAGATTGGTAACATAACTAACACTAAGACATGATTATTAATAAACTGTTGTATTAAAGCAATGGATATGATTTGGAACTCCTGAGTTCTGGCCCACAGTGTGGTTATAGCACTACGACCTGTCGTAAGTCTCTGTGAAGATGTAGAAGTAGTGCTACGATCGCTTTGTGAACGGGGCTATGGGGGGCTTTTCTATGGCAGATGGTGCAATAGATATGATGACTTTCATCATCAGTGTGAAAATAGAGGATAGATAGTGTGCATAATGATAGACTTAAATGGAAAAAACCCAATATAAACTCAACACAAGATAGGGTGTTGTCTTTGTTAAACTACTGCATTTAGTATATAAGAGTTCTTATGCCATACTATGTTGAAAAGCTGTTTCTGGGGTCCAGGGAGACTACTCTTACTGAAGTGAAAGTACTTTCTGGTGACTGAACTGAGAGTTTCATGCCAAGTTGAGTCACCCTAAAGACTAAGACCCTCTTTCCTTCAGTGTACCAGCCATTCTATGACTGCACTTGTAAACCACATGATGGAACGATTCAGTTTGGGTTGGAGGTTGTAGGGGGTAATTCATATACCTTATATTAGAGGTAAAATATAATCATAGGCGCCTAGGCGCCTGACTCTGATATATTTATAAGTATGACCTATATACATTGTATAAGATATATAGGTCATGAAAATAAAAATGAAAATAAAATGATCAGTCAAAGTAATATTCCTTCTAAATACTAAAAGTATTTTACTTTGGGGAATTTAAGAAGTGTATATATGGGGCAAAAAACAATCTAAAAGAAGTTTTCTTGTAAGTTTAAATTTTTGGCCAATAAAAAAATCAGGATATTATTTTTTTAGCAGGGAATTTTTTTTATTTTTTTTCCTTATTCTTGAAAAAATATGACCGGCGGATCCGTAAAACAAAAAAATATAATTGGTCTGGCCTTAAAATGTAATTACAGATTACCAGATCAGGCCTGTATGTGATCATGTCACCTGTGGTTTGTAGGTTTGTGAACAAATATGCATGAAATGATTTTAAATATAATATCATTACCAGTGATTACAGTATTTCTAAAAAAGATCAGTGTTTTCTAATCAAATGCCTGAGTCTAGCATACATTAACTGTAATCTGTACTGAAGATAGGGCTTTACCTCTTACTTAATGTTAAGTAAACCTGTGTACTGCTCACGTTAGCTGATGTAGCACAACCGCTTAAGCATGCCCCTCTCTTAATGGCACATGGATAAATCGGATGTCATCTGCAAGCTCTGCAGATTTACTTTAAAATTTCTTTAATTCAAGAATACCTCACACACTGGAAAGTTAACTAAGAAAAATACATCAACTACCAAAGAAAGTTATCAATGCCTAATATGAAGTTATGAGCAATTATTCAGGGGTTAAAATAATTATCTGCATTTATTAAGTTTTATTATAATGTATCTTACCAAATTAGTTTTGCTACTCCAGGAAAAGTGCACATCAACAGTTTATTAAATAAACCTTAATAGGGATTTTATTCCAAGAGCTTTTTCACATTCCACACAAGACCTGGAACAGTCATAGTTTGTTTGTAGGGTAATTGCAACTGATATTGATTGTATTTGTATGACAACTGATATTCCTTGAACATTAACAATAATCAAGTCCTTCACATCATTGAGTATTGACATTCTGACTCACTCAGTGTCTGTATCAGATGTGTGCACGGATCAAGTTTTTTACTTTCATACCCTATTGCTTTTTTATTAAAATCATGTCTTCGATCAGCCTGCACAATGTAGTAATTGTAAATCTCAGGGGACAAGCTTAGGTTGTGGGTTTTCACACATTTATTATTGTATGAACAGGGTGCAATATCAGGTTTTCTCTCCACTGGACATAGTTAACAGCTGTCTGCATGACTTGATTCACTGGCAGTGATAACAGAGACTGGCGATCTGTGGTGAATGTGAACAGGATGTAAGCATGAACATATTGCACGGTGGAAGTAATTATATTTCAATGTATTTAGATCCTGTACCTGTATAAACCTGACAGAAGTAATATTAATTGGCTAAAGCAGTCTGATTATAATCTAAGGCTGCACAAGCCGATTTTAACCTGTTCCAGTGCGGTGTTGTCAGTGGGAAACTGCAGGCTGATGTACTGTGTTGGACTTTGTTTTCGTAATATATTAGATCGTGGTCAGTTTTGAATATATCGAACAGTCATGGAAATCTGGATCTTTGAGTGAAACTAGTTCCATGTCACATGCATTGTTGTTTTGCCTGCTGGTTGACCTTGGTGTCAGTCCAAGACACGGTTTCTGAGTTCACAGTGGTAGACACCCAGGGACTTCTAGGGGTGTGGGCCCACCTTTTTCTCAGCTCCTTTGGCCCAGTGTCTTCATGACAATGTTATTAAGGTGACCCACCTTATTTCAGACACCTACATGTTAACTGCACCCGATTATGACTTAGGTATTAGGGCTGTAACGATGCATCGAACTATCGATGGATTGCAATTGCTGAGTTTCCGATAGCAATTAATCAATGGTAGAAACGAAAAACTGTCGATGCATCGGTAGAAGGTGTGACTATCGACAGTTTAGTAATTGACTTCCATTGATAAATGCACAGCACAAAATACAGGAAGTATACCAGATTCCTTAACTTTGATTTAGAGTTATCTGTCCCTGTTACCTCCTAAACAAACTTGATCTGGGTTTCAAGTTTCTTGTCAGTTATGAAATGAGACTGAAACTATTTCAGATTGTTTATAATGCATATAAACTATGCATTCATTTGGGAAATGACTTCAGAAGAGACAGTTCAAGGAGAAAAACACAATTTCAATAGTTGGTCATAATAGACTATCGCTATCGCAATAGTTGTTTCCCCCTCAATAGTCACCCCTATTAGGTATTATGTGCACCCCCTTTTTCATAATCATGGATCCGATTTACTTGTGGAAGGGGAAGGACAGTAGAGTTGTCTAAGCTGCCACAAATAGCTGTTCAGAGTTGCATCCCTTTGGCCCAAGATCATTGGTTTGAATCCCGGTTTCCTCATCCCTCAAGTCAGTCAGTATACTTCTATTCAGTGTTACTGTAAGTGCAAAGGTTATTACTAGAAATTAATCTGTAACCAGAAATACAACGTATTTGTTAAAACCTCTTACTTCTTACACTATTTCTGATTAAACTTGTGTCAATATGTTGTGATGTAACATTTAAAGAAAACAAACAAAAAGATATTATTTAGTTTCTAAAACTAATGTTTTTGCGCTGCCCTAATGCATTTCTGTCTGATGTTAACATTAATGAGCTGATACAAGGACCTGTAGTCCCAGAGTCAGTGTTCTGTGTCGTGGCAGGGTGTGTTGAATACCAAGAGATGAAGACTGATGCTACATTGTTATTGAGATTTTCAGGTTTAAACTTTAGTGAGTGATTTTAGTTTATGCCGCACTCAGCAATATTCCAGCTATATTGCGGCGGTCTGTAAATAATCGAGTCTGGACCAGACAATCCAGTGATCAACAGCATGAGCATCGATCTGCGCAATTGGGAACCGATGATATGTGTCAACCAAGTCAGCGAGCCTGACCACCCGATGCAGTTAGTCGCCTCTTACGACAAGCATGGGTTACTGAAGGCACATTCTAACCTGGACCGTCACGGGTCGTTTAAACTTTACTATATAACACTTGTTCATAACAGATTTAGTTTTTTCCTCCCCTGTGAAGTTCTGCTGTCTAAGTTTTGTCAAAGAATATGACACTATCGCCTGGGTTACTAAAGATCAGTTCCACTCCTGATCTTCACAGGTTCAAGCGTGGTGTACAAGACATGTAGAATAATGGTTTAGGGTCCCTCATGTGAATATGACCATTGGACCAAAGGAAGTGTGCACCCTCCTTTTCTCAATAGTGCAACAGACAGTGGTATCATATCTTCCACATTCTCTGATGAAGCAAGGCATCCTGTTCCTTCCCAACCTGTTGGGGCTGTGGGGTAGCCTAGTGGTTAAAGCGAAGGCCTGCATTCGATTCCCCACATGGGTACAATGTGTGAAGCCCATTTCTGGTTTCTCCTGCTGTGATATTGCTGAAATATTCTTAAAGCAGCATAAAACCCAACTCACTCACTCTGTAATTAATCGAGTATGGACCAGACAGCTCAGTGATCAACAGCATGAGTATAGATCTACGCAAATGGGATACAATGACACACATCAACCAAGTCAGCAAGCCTAACTATCCGATCTCATAAGTCGCCTCTTCTGGTGTCCCCCACCATGATATTGCTGGATATTGCTAAAAGCGGCATATAACCAAACTCACTCACATAAGTTGCCTCTTAAAACAAGCATAGTTGCCTGTTATAAGGTTGGCTTGCTGGAAAGTAGATTGTTGCTAGCGGCTGTGATGACGAAGTTAGTACCCCACTTTAAGTATTGATATCCTTATTGAACTTGAGAATTATTGATTTCTGAAAATTATTTGCAGTGAGACATTGTCATTTTCTATGTAGTCTATGATATTTTCATGATGTGTAATAATTGACATGCTTACCACTTACATCTCTTGACATGAAATATTGTCATGGTTTTTTTTCACAATCATGTTCAATTTTCTACTATTTATCATGTTGGAGAATCAGTGTATGACAATAGTATACGTACAGAATTTTGTCTTTCCAGATCCAATCTGGAAGTCCAATAGGAAGTTCATATTCCATATCTGTTTGAAAATGCAGTATGATATTTAATTTATAGGTGTTAAGAGTTATTCCATAAATTACACTACCTTGTTAATTCATCAGTTGTTAGGGAAGTATGATATCAATCTGACCTTTCACCTGGCTTGGTAGTGGTAAAACTGTTCTTTCTAAGTCTATTACTTGTAATTGAATAAAAACATGTATCAAGCTTAGTGTACAACCCCCGCCAGTGTATTTTGCTTACAAGTCCTGACTTTCTGTGATGATACCATGTGACCACAGGGACCATCTCAAAATTTCTGTAACCTTTATCTGCACATTTTACAAAATTTAACAGTTTATTGAAGTTTCAACCTGCTCTTTGGAACCCAAAATTTGCCAGTCAGTTATCTATTTATGCTGAGCTAAAGGTTCAAATAGATTTAAGGTGTAATATTTGGAGGTGGTCTTTGTTGGTTGCTTGGAAACTTGTGATATTTTTGGTTTGTTACAATACAATATTGTCATATGTGTGAAATCCTCCTATAACTCCTCTGTTGTATAGTATGTAGTTAGATGAGTGTA